TGTGGTATCACAGTAATTACCCCTACCCAAGCACTTCCTCTATCCTCTGTTGTCATCTCCTCTTCAGCCAGTTCCTTACCCCATATTACAGTTCTGTTACTCCTATAACTTAACCTGTTTCTGATGCATTCATGTTGATTTTTTTTGTCTGGGAGAAGACAGACAACAGTACTCTGCCATGCACATTTTGTTTCTTCTGCTATCTCACCGAAGCAACACCATGAGGTAGAATAAATATCCTGTTCATCCAGTGCTCTCTAATAGCAGGGGGGCCATATACAAACATCTATCACGTGAGGTGCAAGTTTCCAAACACTTCACACCTCTGCTGTGGCACTTGCATATACTCCTGCTGAGTGCTGTGCACTATATGGGGCTGGAGCGCACACACTAGGTTTCTTAATTCCAGCCTTAACATTATGAGTGGGGTGACACTTGCTTCATCATCATCATCCATTGCTTTGCTGACTCAGAGTGGAGCAGTTTACAGGAGAAATCTGGCAAGCATAGTCATATTTCCACCTTGCTTAGAGCGCCAGACATGTCTGTGTTGAACTCTGTGTTGTATACTCATCAATATGAAACCCATCTTCAAGGAACTGTACTCACCAAACCAAAGACAATCATTACTGTAAGACTCATCATCTGTGATGCAATAAGAGTATTTTTTCCATACTTCACTATGGAGGCCCAAGTGACTAGAGAGAGTGAATATTATGTATACTGCTCTGTCTGCTGCAGGGATTTGCCCTGAACAATGGATATGAATGTCTTGTTTTCCATAACCTGTTAATATTATTATCATCTTGAATTGGCTCTGGTTAGTCTGCCACACATTCAATTTAAGGCACAATGGAAAACAGCCTGAAAAATGTTACAGATCTTTTGCGGAATATTTTTGCAGCTGGTTTCCTGCTTTGCTGTGCCAATAATTTCTTGAACATGTGGCAGGATTATTATTTATGGCAAAATTAACAGGTTAATCACATCTAACTGTAACATCTACTAAGGGCCTGTATTATATCTTGGGTACTTGCTTGATTTTACTATGGGCATCAGCATAGAGACAGATGCCAGATCTCTCATTCTGGCAGACCACTTTGAAGTTTTTTTCTTTTTCTTCGTCCCTTGTCTTCTCTCTGGAATCTCTCTTTAGTCTTGAAATAAAACTTATGCTGAGTTATTCATTTTTTGCTAGCATAAGATGCAGATTTCACCACCTGAGTTTGGGGAGTAGAAAAAGCAGATATAGTCATCAGTACTGGAACTGAAAGCATGCAGGCATTCAGCTATAGAGTTGGCAGCACTGAGGATGCACGTACTAGTGGTTTCTCTTACAGTAAGACAGGAGGACTGGACATTGTCAGTGATGGCACTTTTGGCATCTTCTTCACCTTCTTTCCATTGTTTGAACCCAAAGCAGGATGAAGAGTTAGTTCACACAAATTATTTCAGTTTTGCATCAGCTTTGTATCCAAGCTGGACAGGCTGCTTAAAAAGATGGAGCTCAAGTAATTATAGTTTTTGGCTCTGGCAGATTTTGATGAAGAAAAGAATATAAAGTGAAGAACATAGCATGGAGTGGGGCTCTTTCCTTGGCAGAACTACTAGTGGCTGCATCCACACTTGATGAGAATTAGTCCAGTGACCTACTGACAGCACCACAATGTATGGCAATTGGTGTAAGCATCTTACCCAGATAAGTTTTCTTCTTTCTTCCCCTCTCCCTTCTTCTCCCCCTGACACACTTTTTTATTTCTTAAGAGAAAAAAACCTCTTTGAGAAAATATGGGAAGATTGGATTCTTTATCAAATAGACAACAATATGTCTAAGTTTAGAGTGGGTTGGGTATTTTCATTACTAATCATTTTAGTGAGGTAGAAGAGGAAAGAACAGAAGAAGGGCTGTGATCATGCCAACGTTAATGTCATCACAAAGGAACACAGGGCTTATAAATTATTTCAATGGATACTGCTATGGAAAAATATCAAATTTTGCATGCATACAGAATCATAGAAAATTAGGGTTGGAAGGGACCTCAGGAGGTAGCTTAGTCCAATCCCCTGCTCAAAGCAAGACCATCCCCAACTAGATCATTCCAGCCAGGGCTTTGTCGAGCCAGGCCTTAAAAACATCAAAGGACAGATATTCCACTACCTCTTTAGGTAACCTGTTTCAATGTTCCACCACCCTCCTAGTGAGAACATTTTTCCTAATATCCAACCTAAACCTCCCTTGCTGCAACTTGAGACCATTGGTCCTTGTTCTGTCATCTGCCACTGCTGAGACCAGTCTAGTTCCATCCTCTTTGAACCACCCCGTACATAGTTAAAGGATACTGTGAAATCCCCACTCAGGCTTCTCTTCTGCAGACTAAATAAACCCAGGGCATTTATACACGTGCTGCAGGAGTTGGGGGAGAGCTGCTCTAATTAAAGTGCCTGAAGTGTCATGTGTATCAGAATCTCCATGCTGATTTATGGCAGTGGGGGCGCTTTAACTAAAGCACATTGAACGAACTTTAGTTAAAGTGCTCCCACTGCCATTTTTCAGTGCAGGCATGCTGATACATCTGATGCTGGAGTCTGCTGGAGCACAGTAATTACAGCGTGTCAGATTAATTACAGTGTGTTAGAGGAGACTCGCTTCACACATATAGGTGCCTCCACTTCCCTCAGTCTTTCTTCATAAGTCATGTCCCCCAGCCTCCAAACCTTTTTTCATTGGCTGGACTGTCTCCAACTTGTTCACATCCTTTCTGTAGTGGGGTGCCCAAAACTGGACACAGTACTTCTGATGTGGCCTCCACGGGTGCAGAATAGAGCAAAATAATTACTTGCCTAGATGTGCTGGCAATGCTACTACTAATGCAGCCCAGTATGCTATTAGCCTTCTTGGTAACAAGGGCAACATAGGCACCTTTCCACACTGGATCCACAGTAGCACGTGCTCAAAAACAAACAAACAGAAAAAGATCGCAATGAGCTGTAGTAAGGCTCTTTGTCTTTTCATTTATATGACAAGTGTAATCAGGAAATAACTTCATTAGATTTAACTGGAAAGTTGCATACAAATAAATGGAATTATTTTGAACCAGAACCTTACCATCCACAAAGAAAGCGGGAGAGCGTGACTGGATTAAGCCTCCTTCCTATACTTTCTTTTACATGTATATAGAAGTAAAGATAGCAAATTACCAAATAACAGCAATAAACTGTCAGAGCAAATTATAAAACACAATGGTAACTGTACATGCTTTCCTTTCCCTAGATATATAATGTAGTTTTGAATTCTCAGACAATGAGATGGTATATAAAATCATACAAGTGTGACAAGAGTGCTTTGCCAATTAAATCATTATGAAGGCTTTTCAAAATTAAAATGAATGTTTTAGCACTACCAACAGGGAAAACAACTCACAAAAGTTCAGAGAGGGTTGAAAGTGTATCAGCATTTGAAACTCCATGGATGTTTCAAAAGGCTCCCTACGAAAGCTTAACTTAAAGTTTAAATGAATCACAAGAATTTATTTTATTTTTGAAAAGGGGGGAAATACACATCTTCAAATTCCATTTTTTCATTCTGGTCTACAAATAAAAGTCTCAATATAGCCTATGTATTTAAATGGTGATTAATACATTTTCCTTCCCACATGCAACCGCTAGTAGCCATTAAAAGATAGGCTATATGTTTCTGAACACCTACTTTTTCTATCATGATGACCACTCTGGGTATAGCAACTTTTGAGGGAAAAGACTAGCATAAATTCTACCACTAGAATAGGTTTACACTTTTTCATTTTCATGAAGAGTTGGGTTCCTGGATGGCCAAGGGGAATAACCAATAAATAAGGATTGATCCCGGGGAGCAAAGAGCATGGGAGCTGTTGGAAAGTCCCTAATGGAAGGCTCTCTCTCCCCACAACCTTTAGGTAGGGACTTCCAGAAAGTGGATGTTCATGCTGAGATATGTGCAAACATTGTGTACCTTAACTCCACCAACACCCTCCCGCCCAAAAAAAAAAGGAAAAGAAAAGAAAGAAAATATGAGCTCAGCACAGTCCTTTAAGTTCTTTAAAAAATAAATCACGAGAATACTGTGGCACTGTTTGGTCAATGGCAAAATTAAAACTTATTCCTGATAGTCAATCTATTTTGTAAATAAACTATGACAATGCCTTAAACACTTTGCTCACAAGGTTTGATGAGAGATTGATCTAATCAGGTACCAAACTAAATCATCTACTGGTAGTATACATTAGATCCTCTCTCCCATCTTTACATCAATAAAAAAAACAAATAAAAATCAGTTAACCAAGATGCAGAGATCCCAGACGTATTCACATAGCTTTTTTCACATAGTATTATGCAGGTCTTTTATGAGCTTCAAATTCTTAAGAGCTGGGATGATATTTTTTGCTTATTTTTGTGCACTTTTAAAAGTACTATTCACCTTAAGGTAGAAAAATAATAATATTGATGAAATTAGCCTAGCTTAAGTGACAGCAAGCACAATGCAAAATATAACACTTGCGTTTCACAAAGATGTCAGGCTGGCAACTAAAGTTGAGCTCTACCTTATACATACCCTAATGGGCCAGCCAATTTGAATTAAAGCACCAAGATCCAGGTTAAGGGTTTTTTGTATATAAAAACGATTTACGTTAGGGGCAAATCTCATGTTATAGCTCAAGTTAATTCTGCAGTTAAGTAAAGTCCACACATTTTTCAGCATGTAATTTGGCACTTTGGTTTGACTTGCTCCATTTCTGCAGGAAAAAAATCCACATATACTTCAACATGTGTATCATTATACATGGATTTTTAAAGCTGATAAGACCAACTGTTATTTCTAAAAGTTAGCACCTAAACACCCCTCCCCAACTATCTCAAAACCCCACCTCATAGTTAAATTGATTTTAATTTCAAATTCAAGTCTCAGCCTGCCAAAAAAACACTTATATTTACCCAATGCCTCAGTTTTCAAAGTATTTACTTACTTGTATTTTAAGAGCAGCCACTGAATTAACCAGAGTCCTACAAGGATCATGCCGTTAATTTCACAAATAGAGAAGGCCCATTGAACCCGGTTAAAATGGTCAAAAAATGCATCTGGTAGGGGAGGTTGCACCTCCTTGGGAGGCACTCGTTCATGGACGACTGAGATTGTCACTGTGGTAAAGATGAAACAGCAAAGTGCATAAAGAAAAGCCAGGAAAGTCTTCCCCCATTCCATAGGATACTGGGAACGCTCTGGTTCTGGCATAGGGATCTTTATCATTTCTTTTCTATATCCATTTGGCATCCTGTTCAGTTTGATTTTACTGCTGAAACCATTTTCACCGGTGACAACATCCATGCTGACACTAAGGTGCCCATTGGCATGCCCATTTTTGTGTGCCTCAATGTGGTGCTCCATTTTTAAAGTTTCTATCATGTCTAATAACCGCTGCCCGTTGTCGGAAGACACACGTGACAAAGGTGGCTTCTTAAAATCCTCCTTAGTTAAATTGATCAAGTCCTGCCCAGTGAAACTTCCCAATGGCTCACAATATTCCGGCATAGCGTTCTCCATCAGCCAATCTGTCACCTCTTTGGGTGACCAAAATATCACCTCTTTCATTTCGTCAGGGAATCAGCATGCAGATTTAATTTTAATTAAATTGGGCAATGGTTCCAGCACAACAAAAAGCTCCGTCCCGGCTTGTTCATCTTGTCAGATGTGCCGCAAAAACCAATTTGGCAAAGTTGACAAATACAAATTTTTAAACTGCTTGTACAAATACCTATACAATGTGGAAAGCACAGGAAATGGTTCACTTCATTTTTGCATATGTATTCTTCTTTCTAGTGAGAAAAGAAAAATAAAGGTATTAGGATGGCATTTAACAACAAAAAATTGACCTGCTGAAGTCTATTCAGACACCGTGGAGTTGAGGCAAAGTAACGCGCTGCTTCTTCTAGTAAAGCACAATTTGTTGTTTGTTTGGTTTTTTGACATCTGCAAGCAGCATCTATTTCTATACATATTATGATAACAATTATTATCCATTTGGGAGTGGGAGGTGGGGCACAGGGTCCGTCTTTGCCCTCTGTCATATAGCTCCTGACACAACAGATTCTGGTCCAGGACTAAGGATCCAAGATACTACAATACTTATAAAATATTAAACACTGTTGGTTAAATTCCTATTGACCTATTATAAGATATTATGAATGCAACTCCTCCTCTATTATAGCACCTCTTTCACATTACTTTATGTTGCTCTCTCCAATTAAGTTGCACCTAAAAATTAAACAGTAAATGCTTCAGGGCAGGGAGTAAGTTTTTGTTCTGATAAGCACCAAGGACAATTTTGGGAACTAACTAAATAAATATAGCAAACTCTTATTTTATAAGTTAGTAAACACACAGAAGCAACAAGATGTGGATGCCACCTTCCTGCTCAAAGCAATAATTAGTAAAACAAAGTCACTGAAAGTCATCTGTTTGTTTTTTGGTAATCTTTGCAGTTCCGAAGGTGAAAACTATGGCCTTTTAAAAGAGGAATTACTGCTTTAGTTAAGAGATGAGCCAAGGAGGCAGAATACTGACTTTAATCCAAATAACATATTTACATGAGGATGTGGTTTTAATTGCTCCAAAATTTCAAGCTGTTCTCAAAGGATTTTAGCCAAAAATATTGTCAGCTATACCTAGCTGATGTCTCAAGATTTCAGCACCTCTTGGCCATGGAAATCAGAAATTTTGGTCACACTTTAATCTGAATAGTTAGATCCTGGGGGTGTATCTCTGCAAGTGGGGAACCCTGAATTTCCCTGTTTACACAGCCACCCCAACATTCCCTAGGGCACCCCTCTAAGTGGGGAAAGCAGGACAGGTACTCCCAGGGCTTGAGGAGTACAATCTTGCGAAGAAATTCCCATGGTGCACAGGACTAGACCCTTCAAACCCTGGGAACACCTGCCCTGGTTTCCCCACTTACAGAGAGGTGCCGCCAGGAATAAAAAATTAAGTACTAAATCCCAAATTTCTGACTTCTAAAAATTAAATTCAATGTTTTTGTAGTTTATCTCGAATAACTTATAATTGAATGCTAAGTTTTAAAAAATGAAAGCATTAAAGCACTGAACAGAAGGACAACTTTTAATCAAGTCACAGAGAAATGTAGTGAGATTAAGCTAAAAATGCCAAAACCACAGGGGGAGGGAGCAGCACTAAAACAGAGAGAAGAGAAATAAAAACCACAGGAAAAAGTAGTGAGCTCTAAAGCCTTATGCCAAACCAGCAAAACACATTAACATGACAAGGTAGGTGTGTGGCATTTGGCAAATGTCCATGGCAAATTCTGAGTTTGGAAATATTTATAACAGGAGACAGGGTGAAGAAATCAAATCTCAGACCAGAAAAAAGTAAAAAGGATTAAGTCAGATTCACAGCTCCCATCCACAACCTCACAACCCTGGAGACCATCAGCTGCATTCCTCCTCCTCGTCTCCACCTCTGCCAAAATTCTGCTTTCGCATTAGTTGGATAATATATTACAATATTTTACCCAAGCATGGCTGAACAGTCATTAGTTTATAGGCCATCATATGCTTACTATGAGTAAAAACCAAAATTTAAGAACAAAAGCCCCAAAGATAATTAAATCTCTTCTACTTCCATGATTAGGCAGACAATACTACCTGAGAGAAACCGAAGATGAGCCCACTCTCCCACTCCACACACACACAACTGAATACAATCTCTGACTTAGTGCATCTCAATATAAAAAGAATGCAGGATAAGAATTTGACTTGGTCAATCAGAAAATCTCAGATCGATAAAAGTCATTAAAAACTTTACATGTCCCATGAATATTTCAGCACTGGAGATCAAACTATGCTCTGCTGACTACTTGTACCCAAAAGATACTTTATGACTATCAGCCTTTGGAGTAAGTACGTCTTCCTCATTTTAGCTGATGAATAGCATATACATGTTGTGCTATACATAAACATATAATGTCCCTTTGCCACTATTCCCCCTTCCCAATATTAATTATTTTGCAATATTAGGACAGGAAAAAAAAACTTACTTTTGCTAGCTGCCTTCCTCCTATTTGAACCAGTGTTTACTGAATAAAACTTTAAGCCATGAAACACGGTTATTCGAGTCATATCTAGCAAATTAATATTTTATTACATAGCACAGGTTGGGGGTGGGGAGTGGGAAAAGGAGATGAGAAGAGGAAGGATCCACTGAATTATACAAGTCAACCCACAGTATAAGCTACTACAAAGCTTACATTGGAGGCAAGACCAAGTAACAACCATATTAAAGTCTGCGTTATAACAAAACAACTATAATTATGAGAACACCTGACATAGTCTGGCTCTTTAACAGCTGTAAGGGAAAGATGGCAAGCTGTTTCTCTGTGAAGGAAAGGCTACACCATACAAGGACCTTCCCTTTTATTTTTGGAAGATCCACTTTTTGGCAACTTTAAGAGCTGAAGGAAACAGGTCTAAATGTTGGCCTCTTGCATTTGTGAGCAGTTTGAAAAAAAATCAACTTAATGACACACAGGATCAAAACTATGGAATGACAAACTTAACTGATTAACTCCCACAAAACTATAGCTTAATATGCTGGAGTTAATTAACGTAGTCTGTTCTTTTTAAATTTTAAAACTTCACAGCTAAATATAATTTCAATATCTCACTTTATGAAATATACAACATAATATATAGGTACCCTTAGATTTGAAGTATGTGCCCAATGCCTGCTCCAACACATGCAAACGAGCATGTGTTGAAGCAGATTCAATTAACAGAGTCTGCTGGATTGTGCCAATTAGCACACAGGAGGACATGTAAAGATGCCCTGAAAGTTTACTTTCAAATCCTCTAGCCAATGTTAGCTATAACAGTGCAAAAAAGTTGGTTTTAAAGAGAATGTGCATTCTAAAAAAACAAAACCAAACAAAAAAAACCCCTCCTTTGTGCATAATCCAGAAACTAGCGACTGTATCACAAGCTGTCATATCAGTTTTATAATGAAAAACCATCTTGTACTTTGGTAACTGTATCCTTGACTGCTCAGCACTTCTCAACTTAAGAACATTTATTTAGGTGCCTAAATACAGTTAGAAGTCTAACACCATTTAAAGTCTTTTTTTATTGTCTTGAATTTTAGATGTGAAGGTTATTAAGACTAATATATTTAATTACTCCTTATAAATTAGGCTAATATTCACTTTTGTATTTTAACCCTATTCAGGGTTAAACCAATTTAGTTTGTGACCAATATTTAGGATTACTTCGTAGTATTATATGTGGGGTACTTATGAATCCCCTCGTAGGTTCCAACAGCATCAAAATGTAAGAACAGAACTACTTCAGGTTTTGCCCAAGAGCTGATTATGTTAACTAGTCTTAAAGAACAACTTCAAGCTTATCTGCGGGTTTTTAAGGCTTTACCTTGTATAAAATCGGTCTTCCTGGGGACTGCTGATGCATCCCATACTGCAAGAAATAATCAGTTTGGGACCATTAACCATTGCTAGATATCTTAAAATGATAAGAAACATGGCTACCTTGGAGGAGAGAGTCAGCCATGTGGGGTATATATACCCTTAACGTGGGTTTGTTATTGATTTGAAACACACTTTTGTGGTGCTTTGGTAGACTATTTTTGGTTTAGCTTGTCTTGATTATTAGACCTGTTTGTTTATTACTGTTGGCATGTGTAAGTTACTGACGTGATGTTAAAAATCTCTGTAGTGTCTGGGAGCTCTTGTTGGACAGGCGGTCATGTGTAAGGTGTTGTACAGAAAGAAAACAAAGTCTGTCTGTTCCCCAGAGACTGTACAGTGGAAGCAATGACACAGTTTAAGCCAGTGGTAGTTTGATTGAGTCATAAACACTTTGGATTTGGTTTTTGGCACTAACATTTTAAACACGCCTTATTCTGAGTCATGACATTACATCTTAAGTCATGAAGATTCTAAAGAACGAACAGGTTTGTGGGGTTTTTTTTATAACTCTACAAAAAGAGTGTTATATATAAAAAAATTCTACAAAAATTTTGTTATTGACTTAAAATATTCAACATTTTACCATTAAATTTGAGTGTCTGCTTAGCTGGTATTTAAAGATCTCTTCAAAGCTCGTGAAATTGGCTGCTAGTTATTTTACTAATTTCTATAGTAACTGTTGCCTCAGCAGCAAAGCGTTTCACATACATGCAAAACAAGAACAAGGAAGGGATGGTCTTGTACATTTAGGCCTGGGACTTGGAATCAGGAGCTCTGGTTTCTGATTCTGAAATTTGCTCTGCGTATGTTTGGGGGAAATAGCTTTTCCATTAACTATTTTATGTCCACTTCACAATCCACCCTTCTAAGACAACTCTTGCTCAAATTCTGAGGCACCTGCTTCAAGCAGATCTGTGAACAGAATCAAAATCTAATATAAATGAGCCAAGAGTCATCCCCTTTGCTATACAGTGCATCAGAAGGATCATGGCAAATTAGATGGCTAGTTTAGTATGGTTCTGTGGCCCCTGGTTCACATTAATTTAAAGTCACCATAGGATCTGAACCCCTGATCCCAACAGTCGCCTCTCCTGCCGTGCCATATGTGCATGGCAGAATAAGTGATTTTTGGGATCAGGGATAAGATTCTGTTTGTGCCCTTCTTACTTGTCAGTGCATGATCATGGTCCCAGGCTCTTCTTGCACTGGCAAATTGAAAACTGAGTACCAACAACTTGGTGTTGACCCAGTGTGGTCCAGAGGCTGACAGACAGCAGACCATCAGTCAGCCTCAGGGCCACGCTGGGGTCTTGAACCAGTCCT